TATTTTAAGAATTGTTATAATTCTTGTTTAGAGATAGAATAATCAAAATGTGATTCTGATATTAAACGATTAAAGAATGAATTTAGTAGAAATATTGAAATTTGAGAAGTGTTCAGTCAATCCAAATACTTGCTAGTGTATTAAAACCTAGATTCAAGACTAATTTCATGCGTAAAAAAAGTTGACGACAGCAAGGTCAAGATGGAAAGATAGGAAAGATTCTAGTTTAGCGAATGAGGGAATAATGACCAATAATAACCTATTACAAACATTTAGAAGCAAGACTGACTTTTCATGATTTTGATTCAAATTTACTGGAAACTATTTACATAGAGAGGAGATTCATCCAATGCAGTGAATATTATCCCCTCGTCTCCAGCCTATATCACAAAAAATCCGTCCTCTAAAAGTAGTTATCTAAAGACATCATCCTAATATGCGGATGTGAGATTACATGAAGACGACCTTGGTAGACATCCCATACTTATGAGTTTGACATTTAACCTCTTTAAAGATCAGAGAGTGACTCTCCATCAATACTGTATATCCAAAGCCTATGTTGCCTAATTGATTCACTCCTATGTATGCGTGAATATGAATTAATTATCCAATGCAAGTAGATGCATAAAACGCCATTGCCTCCGAGCCCAAACTATATGTAAATCATCGCTCTCATGTAATCGTTCATTATTCAAATCTCAATCAAAAGATCATAACTTGTGACGAATAATGCAATCAAAAAGTGTTTACCACCAATTCCCCACACCGCCCAAGGTATTTGCATCTGGTCCTTGTTGGCCTATTTGACTTTGGAAATCCCTCGCCAAACCATCCCAGCTAACCCAGCCAGGATCGCCATCAATGGCATTCATGTCAAGATCTAGCAAGGCATTGTCATCCATCAACCAAGATATTTGAGTCTGACCTTGTAATTGTTGTTGCTGTTGCTGCATTTGAAGTTGAAGTTGTATCTGCTCGGGCGCTAGCATACCCATTCCTACTACCTGTGGAGAAACATCCATGCCAAAATCGTTATTGAGGTCTTGTTGTTGCTCCCTATAATGTGAAGTTTGTTTCGCTTCCAATATCAGTACGTTGGTCGCATCATGCATTGACGTTTGAGCTCTGCGTATGGCGACAGGACAATCGTGAGGGGCTCCTTCCCAATGATCTTCATCGTTTCCTTCTTCCATCGAGCTCAAATTTTCTTCTCGCTTTCTCCGAGCTCTTGCCATAAGTTTTCGCATGGGTTGCCAAAACATACCGCGTTTGCTGCTACCAACAGCAGAACTCCAATCATCAAACGCACTGTCAATAGCTTGCCAAGCTCGCTCCACGAGTGGAGAATTATTGCGAACAGAGAGTTCGCCAAGAAGAAAAGCAATGGCGTGCCATTGTACCTGTAGTTATGGCGGTCAGTAGTGTTAAGTACCACGAAGTCCAACATATACGTACATAAGTGCGGAATAGCCAGCCCCATTTTTTGGTAGAAGCTTCTGTCTCCAAGATTCTTGAATACTCGATAATTTCGATAGATGACTTCAGAAGACGGTCCTTCGTGTGTGGAGATAAACATTGAGGCCTACCAGGTTGGATCAATGGATGGTAAATTATCAACGACATCTTTGCAAATATGAGACGTGCCACTGTACCCGCTACCCACTATCGTTTCAAAGATTAGTAAATAAGCAATGCAATGAGAATATGCGGGTATACGCGAGGTATGCGAGGTATGCATCGCATTTTCTTTGTAGATTTGAATAATCAAGACAAAGCACGGATAAAAGATTTTGCTTACATAGAGAGGGCCTGCATTCTCACAGTATTTGAGATATTTTTCTTCCATTCGAGCCGCAGTCTCTTTGATCAATTCTTCCTTCTCTTCGAGTGTAAGTTTTGTTAGATTTCCTATGGGACAAGGACCACGACCTGGTGGAGTGTATTGAAGGCGTTTTGATAAAGCACATATCTCAAACCTTACAAGAACGAATGTCATATCCGAAACTCCTTCTCGGGGTTGTGGTGGTTCCTTTGCGTCTGGATCTAGATCTTCATCGTTTATCGAAAGTGGGAATTTGGTATCAAATATATGTTCAAATATCGAAGGGTCAGATCCATGGTCCTCGGACGCCCTCACGTCCAGGACACAGATTTGCCACCAAAGCCGTCTCCTCATTTCCGTATTATATGGGGATAACCCAAACTTCTCCCCGTCACGATGCAATCCTGAGCTTGTTAGATATTTAGCATGAGAATCACTTACACAAAAACTCACCAAGCGATTGGCCAATTCTCATAACAAGTCCAGTTAAAGACCATACAAATCGAGTATCGTCATGTCTACGAACGCAAGTCAAGAATAACACGAATGCTTGAACAGTCATAATTTCGTTTGTATTGAGGAAGCCTGCCCTGGCAAGAGCTTGCTCGGTACCAAATCGGTACTTTCTTAGTAAGACATCTTTCTCGACTCCAAAGTTGGTAGCAACCTTAAAAACGTCAGTCATAGCTTCGCAGAAATAAAGCATGTAGGAGCGAATTAGAATACAAACCTCTTCATCTGACATAGAAGTGATAGTTGCAAAATATATAGAGAACATCAAGGCTTCTGTGCTCTTGCTTATATTGTCTAGATTGTGTTGAACTTCTTTGATGATTTTCCCTGTCGTAGGCACATGGAGAAGCTTGACCAATGGCATCACATTCTCCAGAAATGTTGACCAGTAGAAAGGTATTTGAGAAGGTAAAGGATGTAAAGCCTTCATATTGACGTCGGCAGAGCTATAACCCATCACAAAACTCTGATGATCTGGTTGGGTGGCGGAAGATGGAGCTGGGATCGGAGAATCTCCATCGGTATCCTCCTCATCCTCATCGAACATGGCCCGAAGCTCTGCTATCTCTTGCGATAATTCTGCCCAGAACGGATTTGATACGTATTGACTCTTTCCGGAATCTAATACCAGGCGTCCTATTCCTTCTTCCATAGTAAATGCAGATTTCGGAGCTACAAGTCCCATATTGAAAGATCTCGTGGCCCATTGTCGTTTTGTGCCCTTTTCTTCGTCCCTTCCATTCAACCCGTTCGTTGTAGTTTTCGCAGTTCCACCAGGAGACTCGCTGCTCGATTCAGCATTGTTGTGCGGGGAGGAATGGCTGCTTGATGGGGAAGCCTTCGAATTTTCCGCATCCACTTGTCCGCTGAGTTCTTCCACCACTCCTTCCAACCTTCTCAGTCTTTTTAGAAGCTCCGCTTCCCGATCACTAATAGGCTTTCCTCCGGCCCTGGGGCGCCTAGGCGCTCTACCCGGTGCTGGAAATACGCATGGTGATTGCGCCTTGGTACAATTCGAGCAAGGCACCTTTTTGTCGCATTTGACCTTTCGCCTGCGACATGTAACACATGACCGCGCATTGAGTCCAGTAGGAACTGCAGTAGGAGCCGATGTTGATGGCCGCCGAACATCATCGGGGTTGCTAGGTGGGACAGTAGGGGGAATCGATAACGCTGAGGGGTACGCTGAATTTGGTGGGATAGCTATTGCCTGCTGGTTTTGATAGTCTCCGAACATGACGCTTTTGTAGGCGATCACTAAAGCACTTTCATCTAGTAGATCCAAGCTGCAGAAATTTAGAAAGTGCTTGGTCCGAAGAGATTGAAAGTGTGGATAGAATTATGTGAAAATATTACCAATCGAATATATGTTGATGTACGAAGACTGTGCGGCCGACCCTGAAGATGTCATTATTTAGGGGTGTTCGCTTTGATGCTGTCAGGCTTGACCGTTTATTTTGCAAGAATCATTGGTGATTATGAATATTATTTTATTAAATCTAGTTATCTCTTCGACTTCAATCCCTTTCCGTGAACCAACATTAATAAGGAACATACTGGGTAAGTTTAACAAGTGAATATCAGATTGATCTTTTTATTGCTAAGTCAAAGGATTAGGTCCCTAGATATCACATCTACTCTATACTATCTTTTCTAAAGTAGTTCGGAGACGTTTAGTCTGATGGAACAATGTCGAAGGCTTGTCGAAGGCTTATCCACGGGTAACTTTGACTTTAACAATTGGGGACAAGTGTCAAACCCCCTTAACTTAAACTTTACAATACATGATTTCTAATATGTATTCAATGATAATCTACACGTCCTTCTCTTCAAGAAAATCGGTCTAGAAAAGATGACAATTCATACTGAGAAGTCTCGAATTTTAATTGAAGATGGCCGAGAGTTCACAGGCTGGCGAGCTGTGGTTGGACGGTCGCTCGAAAATAATGTACATGTCATACATAAATTCTTCTGCTTCTATCCTCTGTAGTTTATAAGTGCTTGGCAGTCGTGAAAGAGGAGGGATTTTGAGCGCGATTCCACACACTGTTTACGGCTCATATCATTTGAAGTTCTATGGCTTGGAGAGCACCAGGAGATGTTTGTCTGAATCGTCCAGTCACGAATACTTCAAATATTTAAAAACACCCCACATCCACAAGCAAGTAGGACAGATGGCCGAGTGGTTATGGCGTGTGACTCAAGCTCAACAGCTTAATTGATTCAATCAACTAGCATTCTCATGGGCTTAGCCCGCGGGGGTTCGAATCCCCCTCTGTTCATCACATTTTTGCATTTCCTTTCATTTCTTCAATGAAAGACAGTCAATTCCTGGGGTGCATGGGCGTGGGGCTGGTCAGCCGACTTTTTTCTTAATATGCGCGAGAGCTTGAGCAAATGGAACGCGACTAAGAAAAGAGAGGAAAAGAATGACACAAGGGCGTTACGAGTTGCTCACTCTAAACTCGTGCTAGTCATATTTATTGAAGATAGCGGGATCTTGTCTATTTTGGCTGAAATTACAAGTACCGAGAGGGAAAAGGGGCATCTCAGCCGTACTCTTTTAATAGCACGTGTTGTCTGCATATAGTAAGATGAACTTTGATCTCAATTACTTTTGTTTTACTTGAAAAAGTATCTTCATTTTATGAAATACATACATGAAACCTCAATTCTTATGTCTTTTCCGAGAAAGCCGGTCGATAGACTGACTTACTCGGCCAAGAGGAAAGAGGGAAGAGGAAAGTTATTTTTCTCAACCTCGTATTCTGTACCATCATACCTAATTCAAAGGAGTAACTTTCAATGCCAATGCCCAATTCTAGCCCTTCTAGAATTCAGCAGTCCATACATTCCAACTCATTCACTTCCCCCCAATCTTCCATGCGATCTCTATAAGTCTTCTCAATCTCCCCACATGGTCCATTTACGCGTGTTAATTGTGGATACAGCGTGGAGACAAGAATCAAAACCGAGCTTGCATAGCCCTATACATTATGCTCACCCCAGACAATGATATCCCTGCGAATGATGCCCTGATTTTCGAAATTCCAATCACATCGAAACACCGAATTCGATCAGCAATAAACAAGAAGATCAATGCCATGTCTAGATCCCCGTTTTTGCGCGATGTTGTCGCACCACTCGCTCATAGTTTCCATCCCATCTCATGCACATAGTCAAACGGTTCTAATAAGAACAAAACAAGAACCCAAATAATATATCTAATACCAACTACTGCTCCTCGAAACTCGAAACAATTTTTTGAATACTTCTTTTCCTCCATTACCTAAAATCTCCAAAAGCACTCTCTCCAAGATCATAAAAATCATGAATTTCCCTCCAAAGCACAACCCGTATCTCGATCCTACCAATAAACAACACCGCGATTATACCCGTCTAGACGTATCTCACTCTCCAGACAACGTCCCAGACACCCCTTTCAACTCACCCACCGCAATGTCTCTCTCAAACTCTGAATCCTCAAGTCCAAATTTCAATCCCTTTTCTCTAAACCAACTCATCATGAACGGAAATGAAACATCCTCGTCGTCATCACTACATCCATCACGAAACTTCACACCCACATCCGCACCATCAGATTGGCGTCCCGAATCTCGGGATCGTGCTGGCTCAACCGGCTCGGAAAGATCGGACATTATTGGCAACAATAGAAAATGCCACTGTGGAAGTGGAGGAATGCAAAAAAGACACGGTGGTGAGGAATCCGGTCCTGGGTTTGGAAGTTATAGCGACAGTCGTTGTGAGCAGTGCATCTCAGGAGACGAGGATGTGGAGAGGGGAAGATGTAGGACGAGGACGAATTCGAGCAGCTCAAGGGATAAGACGAGTTGTTCCAGGGAAAGGAAAAGGAGAATGGATCTTTAATGTATGTGTGGTTAGAGGGATATTAAGAGGACAGTCTTGGAAAGGATCTAACAACCAATAGTTTATTTGGTTTTCATACATGTTTCCGGCGTTTCTTGACATCCAATACACGTTTGGATCTTCGCACTTGAACTCGACACCGAGTTTGAATCTTCGAAAATAAGGTTGGGGAGGAATCTTACCGGTTAGGCCAAAAATTTACTTTTCGCCCGAAGACTTACTTACGTACTCTGCCGTCCCTTGACTGTTGGTGAACCAGACCTCATCTGATATATCGGACAAATTCAGTTTGAGAACTCATTCTACACAACCTCAAAATCTAGACACTTGGATGTTACTTGTGACTGTCCCTTGAAATTATATCTGTTGGGTGTTTGTGGCGCTTTATGGCAATCACAACAAATACACACTGATGAGGAATTCATCTCCACTTTGGTAGTTGACACAAATTAGGGAGCGATTTATTTAACGATTAATTTCAGGTCTTCCTATGGATGTATCAACTTTAAGACTGTCAAGCTTAAGACTATACAATCAAATTCCAAGATGATATTTCCAAAGGACGTCTTCTACTAATTCGCGTGTCAAAATATCTGTCAGGGTCGTATGTGAATCGACTCTGTATTGCGTCTGAAGTGTGGAACACGAGACTGACGGTTTTTTCTTACGTGTCTGGATATCTACTAGCAAGATACCATCCAGTGTTGTAGGTTCAGTACCATATCCATTGTTTCTTATAAGAACCATATCATTTGCCTTGTACAACAAGTCTTCCATCACTGTTCTCAACATTTGATCGTCATTGCCCTTAGAAGCTTGTCCAAAATTCTTGTAAACTTTCCCTTGATCTCCTGAACCCCAATCTTCTGAGATACCATATATATATATATATATATCGGAATTTTTAGAGGGGCGTGGCCTTGATTCATCTCCTCTGTTTCTACCTGGAAATAGAAATAGCTTTTGGAAACCCTATCACTGTTGGTGCCTCTGCCTCTAGACATAAGTATCACTTTCTTTCCGGTAGAGTAGATGTGGTTTAATAAAGGTTGGATACCAATACTATCTGCGATTCCGGATACTCTTTTGTTGTATATGAACATCAGGTCTTCGCAAATACTACAAACTAGATGCAAGTCGCAGCCCAGATATGGAAGAAGCCGGGTGAGTCTATTCTTGAGAAGATCCTCAAACGGTCTCTTGGCCAGCGAAGGATCTTGGTTTTGTAATTTAATCAACAGCGAATGTGCCTGTTTGATGTTAGACTCAGAAAACGTGGGCCACATTTGGCCGATGGCAGTATGTACGTCATCGAGAGCTTCCGAAATAAGAGTTGAGAGAGTACGTTCCAGGTCTCTGCTCCAACGAAAAACGAAGTAGCTGCGTGAAAGAAGACGATCTCGGAAAGCAGATACCAAACCTCTTATGCTGCCAATTTCTATAGTGTCGGTACTGCCTAAGTGTGATCTAGACAACCGATATGTGTCTTGACCCGACGCATCATTCTGGAGCGAAGCCTGGGCTCCAAATAAGTTTGGCATAATATATTGTCGACGATTTTCGACTTCATACATGGCCAACATCTCAAAGTTTTGCATTGAGTCCGAGGAGAAATCCATGGGCATCTGTGGATGACTTTGTACTGAGGATTGAGATTGAGTCTCGAAGAAATTCATGACATCGAGACCAATGGGGTCTTGCAATTGAGAAAATGGCTGCGATTGGGGCATCGATTGGACTTGAGACGACTGGATCGGAGGCAATGAATATGGAAGGGGCTTTGACGATGGTTGTGGCATTAGGTATTGAGACGGGGCTTGTTGTTGGATAAATGTTTGCGGCTGATGGAGCTGTCGACGTTCAAAAGAATTGTGCTGACTAAGACTTTCCTGCCATTCCTCAAGAGGTTGCTGTTGCTGAAAGGGTTCTAGCAACTGGGGCTGTGATGGTTGTTGTGATGGGGAATCTGAGTGACTAGTGTGAGAAGGTGGATTATTTGGCGGTATATAGCTTGGTGGAAAGCCTGTGTAGTTGGTTTGAGTATTGCCATATTCGTCGTAAGAGTTACTATTTTGACCGTGCATAATTGCGAGTTGCAAATACTACAAAGTGATAAGCAAACAAGTCGTCAAATGTATATGGATTAATGAGGGTGAGGATGTCTCGAAAAAACAGAAGTGTTTATATTGACTAGACTAGCTGTATAGAATTGGCGGAAGCTGGTTTAGAGCAATTCCTCTAAATACGAAATTGGAAGGCATATTTGGACGCCTACTTGACAGTTGCCCTTTCTCTTTTTGGGTTTGAGGTTGAGGATTTTATATAACCACGCTTGCTATGTCCTAGATCAATACCCGAAAATTCTCGATACTTGACATGGGTATTGAAAAGAAGCAAGCCAAATGCTCTTATGACTTAGAACGAAACGAAGCTGAATGACAAATCACATGAAATCAAATTACAGCTGCTCATATTGAAACAGAAATCACAAAAATCACAAAAATCACAGAAATCACATAGCCTAAGGAGTGTCACGAACAACTGGTGGATTGAAATCGAACTCAGTGACTTACCCACACCTTGCAATTGATCAATTAATCGAGATTTGTGCTCAAAATACAGCAATTACTTGAGACAAGCCACTGCAAGTCAAGCTGACGTCTAAACGTTGAAAAAGTAGCTTCTGCTCTAAGATAATCCTCTCGGGCCAGGGTATAATTCTCAAAGCTTCAATTTCTCGGCAAACCATTTCTCGGCGACAGCAACCGCATCCTCGATCTTATCAGGGTTGGTACCTTGACCAGTACGAGTTGGCTCCTTTCCACCGGATCGACCTCCTACAACCGCTGAGACTGCTGCGGCCCATTGCTCCGCACTCACACCCTTGGAAGCAGCATCCTATGCAGTGTTAGTGACTTTTGGAGGTAAAAAAGACGTTTTGCACTTACTGTACCAACATATACACCATGCACAACAGCACCTTCACTAGCACTACCTCCAAAAAGATAAACTGTCTTATCCTTTGCCTTAGACTTGAAATGGTTCATGACATCAGCAATAGCCTTGGAATTTGCAGAAATTGGCAATTGTGCGATATACGCGGTGCTGTCTTTGTTCTTCGAATCAGCAAAATAGGCAGTAACAGTATCCAAAGCAGTTTTGGATTCGGCCTTTTGCTTCTTCTTTTGTTCATCAAGGACATCTTTCTGAACCTTGGTGAATTTCTTCTTTAGGTCCTCTTTAGCAAGTACCGAGATAGTGAGATGGTTCAAGTCATTTTGTGTTGCCTTGACCTCTTGTTCCTTCTCGACGCCGTGAGGCATAGCATCCAAAGCTGCGATACGCTTGCCAAATTCCAAGGCAATTCTTTGCACCTCATGTGCGGCATCACCAGTATAAGCGATGATTCTTCGGATTCCTTTAGCAATACCGCTTTCCTCGACAATAACAAGGTCCTTGATAATGCCGGTTTGGTCGACGTGAGTTCCACCGCAGAATTCAACACTGACCTTTCGCCACTCTGGATTCTTGGGCTCGGCGAGCAGAACGTCAACTTCGACACCAACAGAGACCACTCGAACGGGGTTTGGGTATGTTTCGCCGAAGACAGCACGTACACCTTCAATGCCCTTTGCGATATCAAGATCAACGTCTTTCGAGTAGATCTTGCAATTTTGCTTTATATAAGAGTTTGCAGAGTCTTCAATCTTCTTGAGTTCAGGTAGTGTAACTTGAGCTTTATGCGAGAAATCAAATCGCAATTTCTCTTGGTCGACAAGTGACCCCTTTTGGTTGATATCTTCACCCAAGTGCTCCCTCAATGCATGATTGAGAATGTGGGTACCGGTATGGTTATTGCGGATAGGTTGTCTCCTTAATTCGTCGTATTCGCAAATAACTTCATCACCAGCCTTGAAGTCTCCATAGTCCATGTAACCATTGTGAACAATGTATCCACCATATGCTTGAGTATCAAGGACTTTGAATTCCGCAACACCATCAATTATGATTTTCCCGGTATCGAAAACTTGCCCACCCTGTTCAGCGTAGAAGTTTGTCTTATCTAATAGAATACCAAATGGTTTATCATTAGGTAAATCCGCAGTGCTCTTAAGGAAGCTCTTGCCATCGTAAATGAGTTGGATCTTGCCAGTTGAATCGCCCTTCGAGAACTTAGCATCATCATTGGGTCGAGGAATACCCATGTTATCCAGCTCGGCAATTTGATGAACATCCAATTTGGCGAAAGTGTGGGCAGCTTCCTTAACAGATTTACTGGCCTCCCTCGCCTTCTCTTTCGCAATCTCGATTTCTCCTTCATCTGTTTCAAGACCACGCTCTTCCGCCATGATCTTGGTCAAATCTTCTGGGAAACCAAAGGTGTCATATAATCTCCATACATCTGCACCAGAAAGCTTCTTGGTGTTCGTCTTGATGGCTTGAGCGGCATATTTCTCGAACATCTTCTCACCACGATCTAGTGTTCTAGCGAAAGCCTCTTCCTCTTCATCTAAGATTTCCTTCACATCTTGTTGCTTTTTCACAATTTCGGGGAATTGCTCGCCCATTTGTTCAACAAGAGCTGGCAGGATCTTGGAGAAAAAGCTGCCAATTTCAGCATTGAAGTATTTTCGAGCATAACGAGATCCTCTTCTCAAGACCCGGCGTACAACATAACCACGTCCCTCGTTGTTGGGAACACCCCCATCAGAAATAGCGAAAGTAAGTAAGCGAACATGGTCAGCAACAACACGATAAGCAGTATCGATCCCATCAGTATCATCCTTTCCGTATTTGTCGGTATAAGGTCTGGCGTTTGTGACCTCTTGAATCTTGGCAAATAATGGCGAGAACACATCTGTGTCGTAATTCGATGATTTATCTTGCAATACCGAAACTAAACGTTCGTAACCCATACCAGTATCAATATGCTTAGCTGGTAGCGTCTTCAGAGATCTATCCTTCTGGCGATCGAATTGAATAAATACGATGTTCCAGATCTCCAATACGTTAGGGTCATCTTGATTAACAAGGTGAGCAGCATTGCGTCCTCCCCCTATTCTGTCGTAATGGATTTCACTACAAGGTCCACATGGTCCTGTCTCTCCCATTTCCCAAAAATTATCTTTCATGTTTCCTGTCAAGATATGATCCTCCTTGACTCCAGCCTTCAACCATAAGTTCTTGGCCTCTGTGTCCGCTGGTACATTATTCTCCGAATCTCCTTCGAAATATGTGACGTATAAGCGATCTGGATCTAGCCCGTAGACCTTTGTGAGTAACTCCCACGCCATTCCAATAGCATCTGTCTTGAAGTAGTCGCCAAACGACCAATTTCCCAACATCTCGAAGAAGGTCTATGACTCACATGTTAAAGCTGCTCAAATGTAGCATATCAAAGTGTCAACTTACATGATGATAACTATCTTTTCCGACATCATCAAGATCCTATAAACCATCAGATAATATACTTTCCAGCCCGGAGTCAGATAGCCCTACGTTATGTTTTCCTCCAGCTCGAATACACTACAACTGCGTTAGCGCAACCCTACGATAACAGCAGCAACACAATCATCTACCTTCTGTGTATCCACCGCTCTCTTTAATTGTGCCATATCATCGGTCTTGCCCACTGTGCCGAGGAAAATCGGCTTGAACTGGTTCATACCAGCATTCGTAAAGAGGAGAGTGGGATCATTGTGAGGGACCACAGAAGACGATGGTACTGCATTTTGTTAGAATAATGGCTTGAATAGACGTTTCAGACAATCGCAGACAGGCGCATGGCTGCAGAAGAAGTGTAGTCCCGTTCAGAGGAAAATCGTGGTTGAAATTCCCCAGAGAACCCCCCTTCACCAGAAAGAATTACCCCGCCACTTACCAACAGAATGAGCATTCTTCTCAAAGAAGCTTAAGAATTGTTTCCTGACCACCGGGGCCGTCCATTTAGTGGTATCTTGCGAGCTCGCCATAATTCTCGACGTCTCAGAAAATTTGCGATACAAGGTTGTGTTGTGAGAACTTATCAAGGTGGTGCGCGAGTTGAACAAAGAAAGTCGCGTCGTCTCTGGTTCGTAGAATATTCTCGAGCAGTGACTCAGTGGACCTGGAACTCTTGCGACGTTCAGATTCAATCTTCCACGCAACGCATTCATTCGCTCAATTCTATAAGAATATAAATTGCCCTAGAGAAGAAAGATTTTCAATTGACAATTATTCTTCTGGTCATACAGATTGAGATTTCTTTTATCGTGCACACATTAAGTGACAGAAAGGAAGATTTGTGATTAGGGGAGGGATGGGTCGTTAAGATGGATCAAGCGACAGGTATTAGGAAGAGGAAGGCAGAAACACAAGACAATGAACGACTCTCCAAACGGATGAGCTTGCTTAATCTTGGTAAATATCCTACAATAATTTATTCTATCTCTATTCAAATGCATGAGGTTCACAGGCTAACAATATTCTAGAGCGCAATGGCCAGAAACTCTACGTTCCAGTTGAACAACCCACCTTAAGCTCAGATCTACCGACCACCAGCTCTACATTTACTACCAGCGATCATAAACCTATAAAACCGAAAAGAGCACGACAGCAAGATGCAGATGATGTAATGCAACTAGACGATTCCAAACACAAAGTCTACATCTATGATCTTGACGATGAGCTATCAGACAGTGACGCCTCCGATGATGGACGGCTAATATTTCTCCCCGACATATCCAAACATTTGCGAGAAACACGTATTCCACCTCACATCCTCGCCAATAAAGATGGGCAGTTGGCCGGTATGAATAATCAGCTCATCTTATACGATACAGCTGTTCCGAGGAACCATAGTGTGCCCGAGGAACAAGATTTGGTGCGGAAGGCATTTCTGGAGGCGAGGGAGAAGGCTAGAGCGAAGTGGGACGAGAAGGCAAGGCTGGAGGAGAGAGGGGCAGATGGAACGGTGGGTGAAGTTGTACAAGATCGTGCCTATACAAATAGTATGATTGGAGGGGATACTGACGTAGAAGATATGAGTGTGGAAGCTATAGAAGATGATCCTGATGCTATGGACCTTGGATAGTGTCCAATACTTCACTTAGTGGTGTGTAAGACTATGTAATGGGTAATAATATATTTTTGAATTTCAGCATCTTCTATTGTTCTATTCCGGATAGTACATTTATTCATAATGATATCTCATGAAAGCTGATCCCTCTTCAATTTCAATCTCTTCACCAGCCGTATTAACCATACCCAAACACTAACATTTATCAAACATCCCTTTACGATTAACCTCGAAATGGATTATTGCTCGCGCCAGTATTGTTTGTTTGGAGATTTGTTGGAGGAGGTCCAGGAGGTGCCTCGTAATCGGGAGCAGACTCTCCACCATCATCGGCTGGACGTCTTGTTGGTTCTGATCTCCATTGCGACGGATCGACTTTAGTCGCTCCAGCAGGTGGTTGATATGTGGGTGGCAATGGCGCATTCGGATCATACATTGGCGGTGGCATAGGGTGCATGCCATATTGTCCCCCTGCCGCTGGAAATTGATTGTAGTATACGTTGGGGGTCTGGTAGGCTGGGTCATATTGTGCTCGTTGTCGTCTGTTTAACATCCACTAATCATTGTTAGCATTGTCCTTTCGTACAATCTGTTTAAGGCCTCTTACCCTATGATATGCCAGCGGTTTCAAGCCCTTTGCTATTCTTCTCTTCGCATGCCAATATCCGACAATAATCCATAGCATGAAAATGAGGAACAGCCCCCAGAAGACTGACCATCTGATTATTTGTCCTGTCTGTTGACCATCATTAGTATATAGCCCAACTTTCTATTTCAACCAGCAAACAAACCTTGGTGAGCCAAAAAGGAACATCATCACCTTCAAAACAACGACCATATCTATCACATTCGATTGTAGTCTCGTTGGCCGCCCGCTCCATAATTATTGACAAGTCGCCGTCCATTTTTCGATCAACACCCAATTATGTCGTCCTCGAAATCACAATATATGAAAAGGTATCGTTTAATAATATCTCCCGTCCGTTCGCTATCGTTTGATTGTAGGAATTGATTTAAACAAAGTACCAAAACCAAGACTTAGGACTTTCTACTCCAGAGAAGTACTCCAGAAGTACTCAAATCCAACGAGGCGGTGCTTGGGTCTCTTTTACACGGTAATCTCAATACCCGGCTTTCGAGTTTCATGCGGTGTTACAGAAGCGTATTCAACACCAAGACTTCGTTTGAGATCTAGGGTTTTTATTTTATGAATGTTGATTGCGACTCGTGAGTTGCTTTTAAATCACGACTTCAGAGTAAGTAGGAAATGTGAGACAAGAAAAGTAGGATACGTCGCAAGCACGAAGATGTCCGAACGAGAACCTTATACTAACAACATCACATATATTTGGTGGCTTGGAATACGGCCAAGATCCTCCGGTTTATGGTCTCACCTGCTAATTTCCATACAAAAATACCTCAGTGATCATCCTCTCTATCAATATCAAGGACATGATTCGTTTCTTCCAGATTAGTCATCTAAATTAGCTCCAGGTACCGATGTGCTAGTCGCAGCGTGGCTGGAAATGTAAGAGTGTGGCTGGTCCGGAAAATTTGGATGTTTCCGTACCGCTGTGGAGAACACGAAGCAAAATGCTTGAATATTTTTAAGTTGAGTGCAGTCAAAGAGCTTCGCATCAATAACGGTTTGCTTCATGAAAAATTTTACTCTACGGATTCATGATACGGCGTTGGTATGGGAAAACTTTGTTGCGATGAAATTGTGGACCTCAGGCAAAACTAAGATCTGGGAAGGATATGCGAATCAACTAAAATATTCCACGACAAATACCATTACTATATTCCTATTACTACCCGTCTATAGGACACCTGAATTCCCTTCCATCATGAATCCCATGCCTTGTCGCATTATCATCGATTTGTATTGCCTCCAAGCAAGCCCGATGATAAATATGTCTACAAGCAAACACCACTAGTGGTCCTAACTCCTGCTGGCCCTTGTCATCATTATCATCATTGCCACCCCGTTGACCATTCAATTCATCTAGAGGCCCTGCTGCCGATTCTTCATCCATGCTCTTTCCTTTACCTTTGCCATTCCTGTGTCCACTACCATCATCGTCAAACTTTGGTAAAGTATCACTCCTAGCTGGAGCTACCCCCTTTCCTCGTTCAGGAGCACCTCCACTCAAAAACGATCGTCTTTTCTGTCGCTCCTGTTCTTCCAGCTCTTTTCTTTCTTCCCACTGAGAAAATACATCACCCGAAACACCAGGCCCCCATGCTCTTCGACCACAGCCCTCACAAGTGGAGCCTCGTGGTCTCCATCCTCTTTGACGAAGATTGGAAACAGACTGCACATTAACGAAGAGATCTTTGTCGAGTAATCTATTCGCTAAGCTCAGAATACTCTCCTCGTAAGCATATGCTGAGAATACTGAAGCAAGTACGGCGCGCAGATCACTAAGGTTTGGAGACGAAATTGATGCCTTCGTTAAGAATGCTCGTAAAATACGCAAGAAAGATAAGTTTTCGCCGAAGGATGTTGGCGTTGATGTCGAGGTTAGAAGAGCTGTAAAAGTTCGCTGGACAAGAGTACGGAGTTGAGTGGTGAATTTCTCACGATCCATTTCATCTGACGTTGATGCTTTTGCGTCCTCCAGGCCTGGAGACAGTGTGCGGGTAATTTGTACCGCAATATCTATAAGATCTAACCACAGCACCTCTTCGGGAAGAAGTTCAGATTTTCCGGAAGACTTTCCTTTACTAGGAGTTCCGTTTACATGGGTTGACTGCGTCGACATTTGGCTTTGACATAACCAAATTCCCACGTTGATATATTTTTGAAGCGCAGTGAGAGCATTTTCCACGGCTTCGCTTGTATTCATGGATTCCTTTGCGTCCGCAGATGCGAAAAGAATACCCGTTAGAGTAGCCTCTAATATCCTTAGATGTTCTATCAGTCGATCCATACCAGCTCTAATTTGACCTTCGCGAGCCATCAAAACCACAGCAGCATCGACAACGCCACTCTCTTCCATGAAAGGCAAGACTTTCTCGAGTCTGAGATCAGATGATTGCACCAATTCAACGTAATCCACCACATGTTGAGCGTCATATTTACACATAAGCTGAACATATTGCTCGGTGAATTCACCAGGGGGTGAGCGTTTGGGGCTCTCTTCTTGTCCAGTTGCTGTTTCCATAATGCTGTGCAAATAGATATACTGTACCTCGGAAAGTTCGGGAAGGGAGGCCAACATATTTTCGTGGAGAGTAGGAGCATAGTTCTGGATTGTCAAGGCAGCCTTTTTAGCATCGAGCCCGACCAGATCACTTGCATGCTTCTGAATAACTTCATGTACCTCTCGAACTTGTCGCTTGGTTAATCCAGAACGAGGTCTCAGGCAGTCAGCGATACAATCAAATATTTTTTCTCGATCCTCGGGATCATCAAAGTATGCCTGAACGAGTTGGCTATATTGTTTGTCTGATTTGTATATGCTTTTCAGAACTCGGTAAAAACCTGCCTTTTGAAATAAAGGCATTAATGAGACTAGATCAGTCGGATGGTATACTGAAAGTAGGTATTCTGCACTGAGTTGAGCATCATCTGCAAGATCCTCACCAGGATAATTACACAAGCCTGTCAAGACTTTGTGCAGAGATGTCCCAGAAAGCAATAAATACTGAGGAAACTTCGGTAAGTTCCGAGCGATGAACATGTCCAAATAAATAGTATCTTCTGATGCAAATTCGTTGGCATTCATGACCTCTAGGAGTATCGTGACGATATATTGTCTGTTAACGGAAAGGCCAAATACATGCTCCTCCGACATATCACGATTTGAGCCACCATTGACAGCACGATCTGGCGTATCATTAAGAAAAGAGTCCTCGAATGCCTCGTTCAAAGCACTGAGGAAGCTCGGTGCGTCAAATTTGAGAACCATTCTTAAGTAAGGAAAAGAAGGCTCGATATCTTCGTTCGGCTTTGTTAAGAATGGTTTAGTATTTCCTTTTGGCCAAGAAATTGTTTTTCCCGAGAAGAGAAACCAGTAAAGTTCAGCTTTAGCATTCATAGCTTCTTGATCCTCAAGTTGATCCCCGGTAGGATAAACTCGGCCTGTAAACGTATATGACATGTATGGAAACATTTTCAATGCATTAACACCAAATATGGGATCTTCCATCACGTTCCCATCGTGGAAATATTCGCCATTTTGAACCAGGGGAACCAATAATGTGAGAAGATCAATGAGAGGAGTTATGTAATCGTGCAATGCTTGGTTCCAGACGTAAATAAGGGCATCGTAAAGATTGTGCTGTTTGCAGAGGGTAGTGACCTCATCGATATCTAATGTTGCCGTCTCCATTTGGCATATCATCTCTTCCAAGCGGCTTTCGAAGCCTTTGCTAACGAAGTATGAAACCATGGATTTAACCACAGTAGGTGGTATTGAGGTAAGACGTTGCTCCAATATGTACTGTTCTAAAACCTCAAGGAAAATACCTTCCGAACCTCCATCCTCGTACCATTCAAAAGCCTCATCGAAGAGGAAATCAATATCGTTGATACTAAGAGATGCTTCGAAGCAAGCTTCAGCCAATTGCTTGAGGTGGTCATCTGTAGCAGCTGGGTATCTTTGTCGCTGACCGAAAGCGAATTTGAGAGAAGCAGTCATAATCTCGACTAATTTGTCTTGTACCATAGAATGTCGTAATGTAGTATCCTCCGGTAGCCCAATGGTCAACTTATCTGCATCACCAGTATAATAAGATGTCGCCAATTGAATGGCACCAATATAATCACCATCTTCCATCAATGCGATTAGTCGGTCTGCCCAATTCGATAGTGTTCCGATTGATACATCATTGAAGCCAAGGAGAAACATTCGACTCTTGTAAGCTTTGAAGCTCATATAAAATGCATCTGCAACAACGCCATGCATAGATGGGTCTTCTTCATCCAATTGCTCCACCAAGGTATGCAGTTGTTCGGAAAATAAATCCTGGTGAAAGATATGTTTGTGTACTAAATCGAATGCTTCAGTCATTCGCATACTTACGTCTTCCAAAATTATTAGGCGTTGTGTAATCGTCAATACTGTGAGAACGGATCGACTAAGCCACTGAACGGCAACAATAGCTTCTTCCGCCCTCCAGCGACTACGAGGTTTAAAGGATAGACTTGGGGGTTTATCTTTGTTGTCAGCTGGTGTCTCTTCCACATCCAGCACAGTCAAAATATTGGACCAACAATATACCAGCTTGACTTTAGAACTCTGGCTGCCATCATCAGGATCTGGAACCTTCAGTTTCACTGCAGGAAACCATGCGAGGCAACCACTCATAGCGCTGTGGGCAGCGACCTCTTTTGGTCGAGCAGCTTTATGTTGAGTTTGAGCGATTGGAGTTGTGGATACAATTACGAGTAGATAGGGAGTCAACATGGCAGTCAAACCTAGAGTATCAGTTCCTTTTTCTACATTTCCAAGCGGGAGAGGTGAGAAGGCCAAGACAGTGCTTGGTTTTCGAGGCTTCCCGGAAGTGCCAATATCATTTGGATATCGGCCGAGTATCCTAGTGGTTCGGACCGTTCGTCCAACAGCACCCATTCCTCTTGTTGCAAGATGCGAAAAGGCCATTCCACGATCATCTGCTGACACAAGTGCCGTATGTCTAGTGCCCAAGAATCCTAGATGTCGAATCGCAATGTTTGGAGCATGGCCATCGGCACTGCGGTTCGCTAATTGGAAGGGTTCGAGTGATGGAATATGGAGAAATGGGCGAGCTGGTCTTGCGGTTTCCCACGTGAAAATACTACCATTGGCATGACCACCAGCAACCACAAGGTGATCAGCAGATATGGCAATAGATGTTACGGCGCCAGATTCAACAGCTATGGTGGTCAGTTATAGAGCTAGAACACAAATATTGAATCTTGGATGCTTACCCTTTGTACCCGGTCCAATTATAGATTTGAGATTTTGATGGTAGTCAAAAATTAAAATTATTCCTTTCGATGTGCCTAGCACTATAGATGCAGAAACTGCTATACATGTTGTTGTACCAAAATTACGCTTGCCAACTTCAGAAAATGCTTGCCCGCTAAGTTTCTTCAATTTTGTCCACCGCACAACCTCCCAAGGTGGAGACGGTGTATCTGTATCTCCTGCATCTTGTAGCATCTGGCTATTAATTGAAACCTGCCGCGAATGTGGTCTCATGAAACCAGGCGAGCTGGAGCGAGGAACATTTAGGGATGATATTGAAAGACGCGAGGAGAACCGGCGGTCGAATGGTCGAAACGATGGAGTAGGACTATCGAGGCCCGGCCTTGATGCGACTGATGGTAATATACCACTTCCAGCAGGAGAGGACAACATGGAGCCCTACCAAATATTAGCAATCTTCTATTGCCTTCATGACTTATCCTACCTGGACAGAGGGAGAATCATCTGGAATAGATAAGACTGAGTCTATGGGACTACTGATCCTCCGAGGAGGTGCTCCCACAGATCCATCCTCGGATGCATTCTCAAAATCTTGAGGCTGCTTGTACTTTGTACCATTCCCCAACTTCTGCGGCGTCAAGGTGCCCTCATCTCTCTCTTCTTGTAGCAGCTCAGAAATCCGACCTCCAGTCAAATGCTCTACATCTTCTGCGTCGACTTCCTGTGATGCATCCGCGAATTCATTTCCGAGAACATCGTGTTCATCAACTGTATCTTCCTCCGCACCAGGACTGTTTTCCGAAGGAGGGGTCATCGAGACTACCTGCTCTGGCGCATCATTCCACAGCTTAAGTTGTTTGCGCCGCAGTCCGTGGACTCTCGCAGACCTGGTTTCTCAGACTAACATTTAATAATAAAAAACATTCAAAAGCGTCGTGATTTGATCCTTTGCGAAATGTTATCGTAATTGTGTTGAATGGGTTGGTGAGCTCTAAGGTGGTGTTTGAGACTACCTCTGTGATAGCTTCAAGCTTGTGATAGGACAAGTCGCTTAGAACCGGCGACAATTATTTTACTGCACTCGCGACGTTTAATCTCTATTACAAAGTCAAGCATTTACAGAACAAGTCAACCCAACTGCAAGTGATGAATTAAGTGCTGATTGATTCGTGAAGATAGTCGCTCAGGCACGCAACCTTCTCAGATTGTGTGGCACGGCTTGGAAATAACTATCCAATTGGATCGTGGTTACATAAATATTGAAGTTAACCATCTTCACATCCTCTTTCCACAACATACACCTGTGATCATACTCGACATTTCATAACTCAAAAACATAATTTACTGAATACCATCATGCCTTCTGTAGGCCCCGAACTACCTCCCCATCTTCAAAAACGAAAGCGCTCGATTGATGATTCCGAAGTACCTAATTCACCACCGCGCAAAATACAAGCAGCAGCTCCACCACGAGTTCTTGGTCCCTCTCTACCACCTTCAACAAATCCAGATGAAGTCAATATAGAAAGCAGCGACGACGATGACTATGGCCCACCAATTCAGCCCTCCAACGCCAAGAAGCCTCAATCTCCACCACGAAGAGTTATAGGACCCTCTGCACCACCGAAATCTACCTCTCCACGCATCACAGGTCCTTCCCTACCTTCCAAAAATCCAGATGAGCTCGAAATCGCAAGCTCAGACGATGACGACTCGTATGGTCCTTCGATTCCCACTCAACGAAAGCCATCCCCGCCACCAAAACGCATTTTAGGGCCCGCTCCTCCACCCGCTTCCCTCTCGGAACGACCTTCATACCCAGCAAATTCAGATTCAGACAGCGACTCAGACTATGGCCCTTCCCTCCCTCCCACAGCAGGAAGCGCCGCCGCCATTGCTCTCGCATCTCAGCAGGCCCGTGAAGCCCAGGCGGCGGCCGCTAAATCAAATGAGCCTGCGAAACCCCAACGTCCAGACTGGATGCTTGCCCCTCCCACATCCTCCGACTGGACCACCAAGATCGATCCTACCAAACTGAAAGCGCGCAAGTTTGCAGGAGGCAAGGGTTCCAAAGCACCGGCCGAGAAGACGGGCGTATCTGCCATCTGGACTGAAACTCCTGAAGAAAAGCGTCAACGACTTGAGGATGCGGTTTTGGGCCGTCAAGAATCTGCTGCTTCTACTAGTAATGGATCTGCGCGTACAATAGCTGAGAGTAGGGCGGCAGAAGAGACTGATAGGAGGGTTAGGGAATATAATGCTAAGAATAGAGGGAAATCTCTATATGAAGCGCATGCAGAAGGGAGCGTAGTAGGAGGAAAGGGAAAGAAGGAGGAAGAGGATGACCCCAGTAAGAGGGGTTTTGATAGAGAAAAGGATATGGCATTGGGGGGTCGATTAGGACATGCAAAGAAGAAGGAATTGCTGAATAAAGCCGCGGACTTTGGCAGTCGATTTCAGAAGGGTAGCTATCTGTGATGCAGCGTGGTTGAGCCAGGAAGGCCATGAAACCGGAGCGATGATATAGGATCCACGAGAATACAGTGCATGATAGAGGCTGCTCACATAATTTCTACGCACACAAAGATAGATACCCAAGTTCGGCTGTTTAGATCAATAGAGGTCAGTCGCATTAACATTAAATACTCGTTTTCTATTGCTTGCTTTGCTTTCCTTTTCTACGTTTGAATACATACTTTCATAAATCTCGCCACCCGCCAACCTTTGTCCTGATAATTTTATAGAATGAACCCGTCGCCATGATAGTTTCCATAAACAAAGCACCCGCCACCATATCCCAAATCGCATCATGTCATGTCAAGCCAGGTCATATAATATACATCCAATCCAGACCCACCGCGCCACCTATTTACCAAACCTCCTAATCTCCAACCACCTCAACCCACAATACGAGAATGCCGAAAACGCAAAAGCCAGCTCAAACCCTACATCCCCTCCATACTCCGCACCACACAGTTTCCCAATCGGCCCCGTGAACCACACCTGCGCCATACCCAACACTGCGCCCATTACCCCGAAAAGAAAAGCCACCATGGCAGCTATACCCGGCGGCAGCCGATTCGCATCCATGTAATTCTCGGGTCGATATCCTTCAAATCCTCTTTTGAAGAAAAAATGTTCCGAGAGTGCGATTCCCTCATATATCGCTAGCCAGTAAGCGATCACGAGCATGAAATTCTCCAGCACCGCTTCGAAATTTCCGTACCCCGGAATGGCAATCGCGCAATAGATGAGCGTTCCGATGAAGGTCCACACGAAACGCGGTACGCGTGCAGTGGCTGAGGAAAGCACTTGCAGGGAGAGAGACACGGAATAGATGTTTGGACAGTTGTTTGCGATGATGGAGAGAGCGAGGATGACGATGCAGAATTGTCCGAACCTGCCAAGTGGGGGAATGAGGACTGAAGAGAGGAGTCCTCCGATTCCTGAATTGGTATAGTTGCTCATGAAGACGTTGTCTCCTCCGTTGCCAGCCATAGCTGTAGCGACGGCTGCGCCTAACATTTCAGTGAATAAGAGGGGAAATATCAACCCGGCGAATGTCCAGAGGAAGATAGATTTCCGACTGCGGTCGACAGGTTGATATACGGTGTAATCTGCGGCATAGCTTGTCCAACCCGTGGCAAACCCAAAGATACTCGCCGCGAAGGAGAGACAGGCTCCTGTTTCGGATTTGCCAACGCTCATGGGAGTGTTGATGAAGTTACCACTATGGGCAAATTCTCCAAGCACAATGAGGAAGATTATGAGACAGGGGATCCAGGAGTAGCGTTCATAAGTGTGTACGATTTTGTAGCCAAAAAGGGTTACGATGAAGGTAGCTGCTGCGATGACGATTATTCCCGCCCAGCCTGGCATGCGAGGGTTCACGGCGTTGAAGAGTTGCGCCCCAACTATGACGTTCACGGCGGACCAGCCAATACACGCAAGACAGTTGAAGATTGCAACTAGAGAAATTAGTATGATTTTTCGACCGAAACTCGATGACACAATACATTTAGAGAAAAGGGAGGCAAACTCACTAATCTTAACCCCATACCATCCAAAATAAAACCTACTCAAAACCATCTGTCTCAGCCCAAATCTCGGTCCAAACATTGAGAAAAACGCAACGGGTACTACCCCCAGCAAATTCACAAACAGAATAATCAACACCGTATCCACAAATCCCAGATGAAAAACCGGGTAGCTCAATGCTCCAAGCGCAAAAGAGGACACAACCAAGTTGGCCGATAGCCATAATGTGCCGATCTGGCTCATACCTGCAGTACTGCGTTCATCGCTGGGAACGCGTTCGATGCCGCGGGATTCGACGCCGAAACGACTGGTGTAGCGATGAGCTTTGGCGTACCAGGTACTCCCTTCTTGGAGGGATGAGCTGTGGATGGCGATTTCTTTGGAGTTGAGCGGGTAGTCTTGGTCTGAGGAGGTGGTGGTGTGGGTTTGGCCGATTTCGGGGTCGTAGACCCTTTCTCTTGTGAAGGACATGTTTGAGAGGGTGTTGTTATTGGTTATTTTGTTTGGTTGTGGGATATGAGGAGGAGGTTGAAAGAAGTCTTGCTCCTTTTATCTCTGTCTGGAGATGTGGAAAGACTTTGACAGCCCCAAAACCTCAAGGTATCAATCTCATAGCCTGGGCTATGCTAATAGAGGCTGATCTTAGATGTTGGGTCTGTATGGGGCTTAATTTCCGTATAGGTGATTCAGTGTAAGTGAATTACCATTCAACTTCCAGTCAACTCCCTTGTCATTTATTCGATTCAAATGTCCAAGAGCCAGTGGATGAACAAATCACAATATCTCTCTCCTTTCATCGATCATCATCTGGGATCTTAAAAAAGGATTGTATGATTCACAGAATGTCAAGTTTACCAGCTCTTTATAATCGAATGGAGAGGAGAGTGTGGATTATGAAGGTGCCACCGAGACCGACCAACGGATACTTGATGCCGCTGATTTTCTGCCAGGAATTCTCAGGTAGGAATTCAGTATGAGTGATTGCTGGATTTTGTAGGATGACAGATCTTCTGTAGCAAACAAATTGACCTCCTGCGGGAAAGTAGGCGATGCCGAAATGATTTTGCGGAAAAGAGAATCCTTAAGTAGCGGAATGAAAACGTAGCGAACTTATTTCCAGAATAGTATACGTAGAAGAAAACAACAATCCAACTACCAGGTCTTTTAATACAAACAATTGGTAAAACCTTTATACAAGGTACTCCAGGGACGCGATCCCAAGTCACTTACGCATACAACAGCAACTCAAAACGATGAAAGTACTGATTACTGCAAAGTATATGCAGTATCACGGTGAGAGCAATAGTAGAAACCCCTTCATGGATTCTGCATTTTGGTGTGCATATCGGGTTATACGACAGCTTTGTCGGTGTCATTATTCTAGGGGAGAATATTGAAATGGGTTTCTGGGCCGATGTAGTTAGGATATGATTTGTTGGTTTGTGCAACGTTTATTGATAAGTCAATAAGCTTTGTGAAAGCCACCGAGGGGAGCAAGCTAGGCTTCGGTTTGTCTCACCATGATGACTGTGAATGTGTAGAGGTGTGAAGGAAATGAGCTGATGTTCAAAGGGAATGAGGAATAATGAGAAGCAATGTCCGCAGAAGACGATACGAAAAGATTAATGGTATGAGCCATATGGAGGAAGTACCGAAAGCTTCATCAATGCTTGTGACCAGATCAGATACTCACTTAAATGCTTATCTTTCCCTAAATAAACCCTATTCACATGTTCTAACCAATGGCTTCAAATGATAGATTAATTGACACCTTCTAGTGTGCGAGCGGAAAGCATAACCGATCGGAACTGTCCGGATGGACCAAATGAGTTAGAAGTTCGGCGTTTGTTTTTCTTGTGCAACGGTCGGATATGAACTTTCTTCTTTCTTCTGACAGCTAGAGAAGTGGCGCCCAGGTACAACTGATTGGTCGGAACCTGTATGTTCCAGCTAATTTTATGCTCCTTTTCCCCCCTCACCTTACCTAGACATTCAGACATTCTCTCATTTGGCGCACGAAGCACCAAATATAATTTCACAGCATCGCTATGAGAGATACAATTCTCCGATCTTCATCTCTACAACCATCCCGTCTCTCACAACCTCAGTACCTCTGCACCTATCCGAGCGGTTTTCGTACCCTTGGAATCTGCAACTTTCCGTGACAGCACATCCACCAGACCATTGCACGAGTATCTCACGTGCCTTCCAAGCCTTTCACTTTGGTGGAGGGGTACTGCGCCTTTCCGATCTTGGGCATGCGGGTTCGTAGCATGGGAATGCATGTCTCATCTGATGTATTTATTGTCTATCATGCTCAAATCTTGTGGAATTGGGCAGATAGCCGATTTTGGGGGTTTGGGATGAAATTGAAGGAGATTTTTGGAAACGCTCAAATGCATGCAATGCTCCTAGTACCATAAGACTAACGGGAAGGTAAACTTGATATAAAAAGGCAATACAACGTTTCAATCAACGTTTATCTCGGTTGCGTTTCATGATTTGCGTATTAGAAGTACCAAGGGCGATAAAGCACGTGTTTCTGTGGTGCGGACATGTCAATGTCAAATGCAGCTCATTTTGGACGTCAATTGTTCCTTGAATTGCATGCATTGTAGCGGTCAAGAATGATATTTCAAGGTTCCCCTGTCCAAGGCTTTGATGGCTTGCATGGATCGCGAATTGATGTAGCGAATTCTGCAGCTAGAGAAGTGCCCTTGTAATAGCTGAGATAAAAATCACAGCAATACCAAGACATTGAGGCTGAAAATCAATAATTCAGATGCTTTTCTGCTCATTGCTTAGGTTGAAAGTGTAGTCTCGCCTCCTCGGCGAGATGACGAGGTGCCATAACTCCGTATTTAGACTCATCATTCTCCAACCAATAGTCGTGTATGACCCCTCTCTTCACGTCAGTCCTTTTCACTGCCATTTTTCCCGAAATAATCCTCCAGAACAAAGCTTGTACCTCGAGAATCATCTCCTCCGCATCTACTGCATACGTCAAGTGGCCACAAGCAAGTCGTACTCTTGGTGCCGCTGTCTCGCTCGATTCATGTAGCCTTTTGAGTTCAGAATTTCGATGCTTTGCGAAAGATGAGAGTAGGTTAAGTGATGTCATGTATTGAATCCAATTGCCTCCCTCTTCCGGAAAGATTATCGCGCCTTGAGTAGAAGGTAGACTAGGGTTTTGATCTGCCTCATCTGGAAGTTCGGATATGACAGGATATCTGTGTCTCGTGTAGAGAGTATCACCAACAAACAAATAATGTTCTTCAATATCATACCAGGCAAGTGAGTCGGGTGTATGCTAACACCGAGAATTAGTGATTGCACATCAAGGGAGACTTTCGGAAGAGAAGGAAGCGGTAGATGAAACATTCAAGTAAATCTGAAAATAGTGGAGGATGATATGAAATGGTGATTGAGCTTACGCCTGG